GGACTCAGGAAAGGAGAACAGTGGGAAGTTGGGGGAACGGTAGAAGCCCCACCCTGAGATCTCTGCTGGACCACACAGTGCAAGGCAGTCCTGCCCAGGAAGTAGCCCCAGAAAGTTAGTGAGCTTAATAATATTAATACTGGACTCGACCTGTGCCAGGCATTTGCCATGTGCTACATTGGAGCCCAAGTAGCCTTCGCAGAACTGCTACGTAAGCCCTGGGGGCTCAATGCCAGGTCACAGCCCCAGCCCACCAGGCACCCCGTGAAAGGAAGATGTGGCTGTCTGCTCCCAACAAGATTTATAGTCTCAAGTAGGGAGAGAGAGAGATGATAGATATATGTAGGATCTACATATCCTATAGAGGGTTTTTATGATTCATAAACTACTCAATGACTGTTTGAGATATTCATATCCACTACTGCAGCTTCCTAATCATTCTACAGCGTAAGTTCTTTTAATATCCCCACTTTATAGGTAAAGAAGCTAAAGCCCCGAGAAGTTAAGAATTCCCAAGTGTATATGACTAGAAAGTGGTGAAGCAAACAGCCCATGGACCTGGGCCACCCGGAGAAGGAAGCATCAGACTTAGAGGCAGACTCAGGCACAGGATGATAGGCATGGGGGGGTGGGCGGGAGGGGGGGCCGATCGCCATGCTTGACTTATAGCCCCACCCCCACCTAGGGTGACAAACAACAGAAATATGGGTGAAGGGAGACAACAGACTGTGTAAGATGTGAAAATAATAATTTATAATTTATCAAGGGTTCATGAGGGAGGGAAGGGGGGAGAGGGAGGGAAAAAAAGGAGGAGCTGATACCAAGGGCTCAAGTAGAATGAAATATTTTGAAAATGATGATGGCAACATAGGTACAAATGTGCTTGACACGATGGATGTGTGGATTGTGATAAGAGCTGTAAGAGCCCCCGATAGAACAATTTAAAAAATTTTTTTAAATCCACTGGGCAGATGACACAGCTTTCTTGCTGAAAGTAAAGAGGACTTGGAGCGCTGAGGGAGGAAGGTCAAAGACCAGTGTTCTCTGTGGATGACAGCCCAGTATAAAGCACAATAGTCCCCTCGGCCTCAAGATAAAGAGAGAAAAGATTGGCGGTATCAAGAATTTCATTTTCCACAGTCAGCACCTATGGAAACAGCACTCAGGACCTCAAATGATGGTGGGCAAGTGTGCTGTAAAAGACCTTTATAAAGGATTAAAAAGCAAAAATGTCACTCCGAGGACTAAGGCGCCCCCGGTTCAGCTTCCTCCTGCGCATGTTCAGTCTCCTCTTGTGCAGGAAGGAAGGGAGCCCAGTGAGGAACTGATGCCTTTGAAATATGGTTTGGTGTGGCGAAGAAAGCTGATGGTGCCCGGCTATCAAAAGACATAGCATCTGGGGTCTTAAAGGCTTGAAGGTAAACAAGTGGCCATCTAACTCAGAAGCAACAAAGCCCACATGGAAGAAGCACACCAGCCTGTG